TCGGCCAGTTAGGGCCTGGACACCCTTGACCGAGGTTGGGGGAGTTAGCTCCTGAACGGCCTTTATTTTGGCCGGATTGGCTTCAATCCCGCGCTGACTAACCATATAGCCTAGAAATTTTCCGGATTCAACTCCAAAAGTGCATTTCTTCGGATTCAATACCATGGAATAAGATCGGAGGATGGCGAACATGTCTCGAAGATGCGTTATATGATCAAAGGCGTGCACCGACTTGACGAGCATGTCATCAACATAAACTTCCATAGTGTGTCCGATCAATGTTGCGAACATTTTGTTGACAAGACGTTGATATGTGGCTCCGGCGTTCTTCAATCCGAACGGCATCATAGTGTAACAGTACAAACCTCTGGACGAATAGAATGAAGTATGTTCAGAGTCCTTGGGGTCCATAGGAATCTGGTTGTAGCCGGAGTAAGCGTCCATAAAACTCATCAACTCATGTCCCGACGTGGCGTCAACCATATAATCTATATGGGGAAGTGGATAACTGTCTTTTGGGCACGCCTTGTTAAGGTCGGAAAAATCAATACACAATCTCCACAACCCGTTACTCTTTTTGACGAGAACTGGATTTGAGACCCACGTCGGGTATTTGGCTTCCTTGATGAATTTATTGTCAACGAGTTTTTTGACTTCTTCTTCCAATGCCTTCTGACGATCCGGCCCCAGTTTCCTTCTCTTTTGCACAACAGGCCGGACTGTTCGATCGAGGTTTAGTTTGTGGCTAGCGACACCGGGGTCGATGCCCTTCATATCCTCGTGCTTCCAGGCAAAAACATCAGAATTCTGCTTGAGAAACGCAATTAGCTCTGACCGAAGTGGTTCCTGAAGATGACTTCCGATGCGTAATGACTTGTGGAAGATTGGTTCGTCGATATAGACTAACTCCACGTCTTCTCCAGGTTCGGCTCGATCAGGTCGACTTTTTTCTTTAAACAATGCTCTGGGATCCAACTCGTCTTCTTCGAGGAGTGGCTCTTTCCCAGGTCGGCGTCCTCGGTCTTCGGTTAGATGATCCGAGGTGGAAGGCTCGCCGATGTGGTTGCTTGGTTCTTCGGTCATCGTATCGTCCGGAGAGTGATGCTGTGGGGAGGCTTCATTGTTACTCGTTGAAGCTGAGTGAACTCCATTAGATGGGATGAACGTAACAAGTTGTCGAGCTTCTCTCTGATCTCCGAAGTGGGTTCCTTCTCCCTGGGTTGTCGGGAATTTTAACGCGTACTGAAAGATAGAGACTGCAGCCCGAAGTTTGTACAATGCCGTTCTGCCGATGATGGCGTTATACTCGTTATTAATATCAATAACTTTAAAAGTCTCCATGACGAGTTTGGTGACATTCTCCGAGGTGCCAAATCGGACAGGCAAAGTGATTTCTCCGATGGGTTTTGAAATACTGCCATTAAACCCCTGGATTTTATCGTTGCAAGGTCTGATCTCGGCGGGGTCAAGACCCATCTTGTCAAAAGCTTTTAGCATCAAAATACTTGAATAGGCTCCAGTGTCCACCATGACACGATGAACCGGAATACCACATATTGGAACGGTAATGACCAGGGCATCGGAATGAGGATGAGCGAAATGATTCGCGTCCTCCATATTGAAGGTTATAGGGCAATTCCGATTGTTGAGAACATCTCTCAAATCGGTGGTATAAACCTGTTTACCGGAGTTGTGAGCTTGTCGGGCATACGCCTTGACCTGTCGGCAGGACAATGTACTCCGGGAGTTGTTGGTATTGACCCGATGGACAGTGATTTGCATTG